AGAATAGCGATAGCGCAAGTGACCTGTTCCAGCTTTGGAGTCTAATTTTTTTTCTCAATCATCCTAATAATATATCGGACTGCCCTGTCTGCCTTCACAGAATGCAGAGATCTGTGATGAATTTCATCGGACACACAGTCATGGGTTGCTGATCACAGGGACACCTGACCAATGTGTTGTTAAGAAATTTGTTATTGTGTGAACACCACAGAGCGCACTGCAGATGGTTAGGCAGGCTGCACATGTAAAACTTCACAACAGAGCCTGCTGCTCCTAACCTGTGACATGAACAGTATGTCCTAGATTGGATACTATAAGTGACTATAACAATAATATCTATGTATCCAAACATATCTAAACCTAGAAAAGTAAAAAAAACACAAAACTATAAAATAGCTTATACAGTATCTAAAACACCCTATAGAGTAAAAACACAGTAGGAAAAAAATAATAAAGTGGAAGTTGGTTGTGCTAGTATGTGTTTGTCATCCCAGCACTTGAGAGGCAGAGGCAAGAGAGGAGGCAGGAGGACCATGTTTAAGATCATACTCGACTACATAGTGAGTCTGAGACTGGCTGTCACAAAAGCAAACAAAAACAGATATAAAAGGATACATCTGTATAGAACTCTTAACCACAAACAGAGCATGCAGGGCTGAGGGTTGCTCTGGTAAAATCAGTGACTCACTGGGATCCAGTACGAAGCTGTGCAGGGCTATGGACTTAACACACTGGACAGCTGGGAGAAACTACATTTATTTTAAACAATTTCTTTCTTAAGTCTTAAGTTCATTTCTATAACATATTAACGGTTTGTTTGTATTTATAGTTGAAGATTTTTTAATTTTTATTTATTTTTATTTTTTTGGTCTTTTCAAGTCAGGGTCTCCCTGTTGCCCCAGCTGGCCTGGAACTAGCTATGCAAGACCAGGCTGGCCTTGAACTCCCAGAGATCCACCTAACTCTGCCTCCCAAGTGCTAGGATTAAAGGTGTGTGCCACCATGCCCTAGACGAAGATTTATTTTTATTATTTTAAAAATTATGTGTACGTGCATGTGAGGGTAAGGAAGCCAGAGGCTTTGGATCTCTCTGGAGCTAGAGTTACAGGTGGTTTTAAGCTACTTGACCGGTGCTGGGAACCAAACTCAGGTCTTCCACAAGAGCAGTAAGCCCTTTTAACCACTGAGCCATTTCTCTAGTCCTAAGGTTTTTACTTTATAAATTAAAAAAAAAATTTTTTTTTATTTTTCCTGTGTTGCCCAGACTGTCCTTAAACTTACTCTGTAGCCAAGGATGACTTTGAATTCTACCTCCCAAGTGTGTGTAAAACAGGCATGTGCCATTATGGATTTTTTTTTTCTCTTTAACTCCTATAATAGCATTTAGCTTAAAAACACATTGTATACTTTTTAAAAAATATTTTATCTACTTAATCTGTAAGTTCATTTTTGTTGGTTGATTGGTTTATTTTTTTGGTTTTGTTTTCATTTTGGATAGGATCACATATAGCCTAGTCTGGCCTCCCTCTTGCTATGCAGTTGAGGATGACCTTGAATTATGATCCTCCTGGCTCTCCCTCCTGAGTGCTAGGATTACAGGCACCACACAGGGTTTATGTGGTAGCGGGGATTGAACCCAGGACCTTGTGCTAGGCAAGCACCCTACCAACAGAATTACAACACCCCCCCCAGCTCTTTATTTTATATTTCTATTTTTACTTCTTTACTTTTAAATTTATTTTTTTGTTAAAAACTAAGTTCCAAACACACACATTAGCCTACACAGGATCAAGTTCATTAACATCAGAACCAGGTGCAGTGGTGTAACATCCCAGGTGTGTACTTGGGAGGTTGAGGAAGGAGACTTGCTTTAAGTTCTAGGCCAGCCTGGGCTACACAGTGAATTCAAGGCCAGCCTAAGCTACATAACAAACCTCTGTCTCAAAGGAACACAAAATAGGGCTGAGAATGAGATGGTTTGGCACTGGGTATGATCCTGGCACTGAGAAAAATCATCAATTGGACATTGTTTGCCTCTACATCTTTAGGAGCTGTGACATGTATATAACTGTCATCTCTTGAGGACAGTGCCTTTGTCTTCTGAAGGACCAACTTGAGGCTCTTTTACAGTTAACTTTACATATAGAGATAGGTAGGGATATGCCCTAAAATGACAATTAAAAGTATACTGGGGTGGGTTTGGGTTTTTTTGGGGGGGGGTGTTTTTTAGGGGTTTTTTTGTTTTGTTTGTTTGTTTTTTTTTTAATTTTTTTATTTTTTTTAGCCAGGGTTTTATTATGTAGCCCCTGGCTGGCCTGAAACTCACATGTAGACCAGGCTGGCCTGGAACTCTCAAGAGATCTGCTTGGATCTGCCTCCTGATGGTGTATGCCACCATCCTGGCTAATAAAAAGTATATTGTAATACTAGTAAGTTCTTTATTATTATCAAGTGTTATACATTGTACATAATTGTATGGTTGTACTTGGCCTGGTCATACCAGCAACACCACAAACACATTAATAATGCACAGTGTTATTATATTGGGACATCTATGCATCAATATGCAGTAATTTTTCAGTTCTATTGTTTTGTTTTGGGCCTTTTTTTTTTGAGACAGGGTGTCCCTGTAGCCCTAACTAGCCTAGACCTTGCTATATAGAACAGGCTGGCCTTGAACTCACAGAGATCTGCCTTCCTCTGTCTCCTGAGAGACACGCCCTATTTCAACTCCATTCTTATGGGTCCATTCTTAGCAATACCAATTTCCAGTAAATAGTAGGTGTGAGCTATTAGTAAAATTCTTTTGTGTGTATGCATGTGTGGTATATGCTGTGTTGTGCATGTGTATGTAAGTACGTGCGCATGCTCACATAGGTGGCAAAGGTCAATGGCTGTCTACCCTGATCACTCTCCATCTTTTTTTTTTTTAACAGGGTCTCTTACTGAACCTGAACCTGGAGCTCACCTTTTTGGCTAAACTGGCTATTGAACCCCAGGGATCTGCCTGTTTCCACAGCCCCCCAATCCACTACGAAGATCTAGGGTTACAAACATGCACTGCCAAGTCTGGCTTTTTTAAAAATATTTTATTTATTATTTTTATGTGTATGTGTGTATTGCCTGCATGTAGGTAAGTGCACCTGTGTCGTACAATGCCCGCAGAGGACAGATCCCCCGGAACTGGAGTTATAGACAGTTGTTAGCTGCCATGTGGTTCCTGGGATTCAAACCCAGGTCTTCTGAAAGAACAGCTAGTGTTCTTAACCGCTGAGCCATCTCTCCAGCCCCATTTTTTGGTATTTTTGAGACAGGGTCTCTCTATAGCCCCAGCTGGCCTGGAACATGCTATGTAGACCAGGCTAGCCTCAAACTCACTGAGCTCACCTGCCTCTGCCTCCTGAGTGCTTCAAGTCTGGCTTTTTACATGGGCGCTGGGAATCCAAACTCAGGTCCTTATGCTTGTATAGGAAGTACTACCCATCAAGCAGTACTTCCCAGACCTAGATGTTGGTAGAATTCTATTTAGTGGTTCCTGAGGCTGAGTTTAGGCCTCATATTAACTTGAAAAGTTAGGCTGTGTACAGTAGCACACACTTATAGACAAGGCTAGTCAGAAGACTGAAACTGGAGAATCTCTTGAGCACAAGAGTTTAAAGCCAACCTGGGCAAACAGCAAGATTTCATCTCTGCCATGGGGGGGTGTTAGGGGAGGGGAGATACAGACTTATTTTTTTAAAACAGCCAATAGAAGTTACCATTATTCATCAGTATCACTCGTGACCACTTGTCTGTTTGCTTGTTTGTGTGTTCGAGGTAGGATCTCATGTAACCAAGGCTAGTCTCAAATCCCTATGTAGCCAAGGCTGGCCTTGAACTCCCGATCTTCCTGGGATTACAGGTGTGCTCTATCATGCCAGGCTCAAACTTTGAATGCAATCTGCATAGCCATTTGCTATCTGCATCTTGTCTACAGTGTTCCTATCAAAGAAGGATCCAGACTAGTGACTGATTCACACTCCAGATGAAGAGCTCACTGTTTCCTGATGCTAAATAGTCCTCAACCCAAAAAGTTACTCCTTATATTAAGACATGTGTTTCCTTACGGATTGTCTACCCTGATTAGGTGGGTCCTCTGGAGGCACCACATCTGACAGTAAATCAACACAGCCTAGCTAATAGCACAAACAGGTTGTTTATGATGGGGTCATGGAGCTTAGTGGGGTGGGATAGTTTATGGGTTTGTCTGGCTTCAGGGAATGGGACAGCTAACAATTAAAAAAAATGTCACACTGGTTTAGGAACTGTTAGAGGGCTAGGGCTGGCTATCTGGCTGAAATAGACCAAGAAAAGAAACAAACAAAAAACAGGAAGGCAGGAAAGAAAAAAGGTGTGTATGTATACTTATCTCACTAATACAAAGAAAAACTAGTTTGGGGCATATATTTGAATTATTATAAACGTTTACAATCTTCACTGTAAATAAAACATAGTTGGTTCTAATTTAAAAGGTTATCACTTCTATTCGAACTGTGCCACAAATAAAATTGTTCTAAATCTTAAAGCACTAATTCAAATGAGTTTCCAGACCCAGAAATCAAGAGCACTTTGTACTCTTTGTGTCATTTTTTTAACATAATGCTCACTCAAAAACACTGGAAATTAGACAGTTTTGTTTTTTAATTCAGTTTTTTAAAAAATGGCACGACTGCCTTTATCAAGATGGATTTGGACAGAATGGCTCTTAAAATAACACCTTTTTTTGCTCTACATCCACGCCTTCTGACTTTGTTTCCCCTTTGATGGGGAAGATGTTCTTTTCCAGGACACCTACCCGTTCCCGCCCTCCCCCAAATCTACCTTTGCAAGGCAGGGGAAGGTAAGTCCTCGCCAGGCTCCCGCCCGCGCCCTTCTAGTACCTCTGGCCAGCAGCCGGTGGGCCCGCGCTCCCCGGACATCCAGGAGTGTTTTATGCTATACCCCGGCCGCTTCCCGCCTGCACACTGTCAACTGCACTTGGGTGGGGGAGAAGGAGCGGGAAATTTTTGGATCGAAAAACTCCGCCCATCCTGCTCCCACCCGCCTGCAACCAAGCCAGCTATAGCACCCCACCTCGGGCTGCCGAACTGGGTCCCATCACATGATCTAGGGTACAGTATTTTTTTTTTTTTTTAAACAAGAAAACAAGCATTCCCCCCCCCCCAAAAAAAAAAAATTCAAACTGCACGCGCGGGCCAATGGGGAAGGAGGGGAAGGTGGGCGGGGGAAGCGCGGCCGACTGGGCGGGGACCCGCGGACCTCGGGACCAAGGGATTCGTAAAACGCAGCGGGCGCACGGTTTGGGCTGCTTTTTTTTTTTCCTCCAAAACTAAGTAAAGAGCGAGAGGCTCCGCCTGCAGCTGCGGCGTCTCGGATCCACCTTAAATCTTCAGTGGACTCGGTGCAGGGGTCAGTGGGCGCAGCCAATGCCAATCAAGTTTACAACCACCAGCACAGGAGGTGGGGGGTGGGGGGAGAAAAAAAAGAGAGGAGGGGGAAAATAATCTTCAACTTCTCCCCTACACACACACACACACACACACACACACGCACGCACGCACACGCAAACACACGTATGCACGCACATGCACACGCACACAAAGGGAAGGAAGGGGCGGGGGGACAGGCTCTCCGGGCCGAGGAACATGTTTGCAAACGCTGCGGTTGAGGCTTTGCTGGCGGTGGCCGGGACGCTCGGGGACGCGGGAAGCAGCGGCCGGACTCGAGCGCCATGATGGTGGCCGCGGTTCGGAGCCCATGTCCTGAAGGGGGAGCCGCACATGATGCAATCCCCCGGCTGCGCGCCCTTTCGCCCTGCTTTTTTCCCCAACCTTCTTTTTTGAGGCGCGTCGAGGTTTCGCGCCCAAGGCAGGGATGAAGTTTTGTGATTTTTTAAAAAATTTTCCTACTTTTTGGTCCCTGCCTCTACTGTGCGTCCCCACGCATGACAAGTCTGGGACTCGGATGCAGGCCCGAGGGACTTGAGTTTACGTGGAAATAACTGCACTTTCGGTTCTGAGGGGTCGGCCTATGGCTGACCCCACCCTGTCCCAAGTCCACGCGAGTGAGATCAGGGAGGCGACCCCCCGAGGTTTCCTAGCATTCCCGTGAGCGCCCCCCCCCGCGTCGTTTACAATATTTTTTGCCATTTTGGGGGGGGGCAGGAAGGAGCGGGTGGCAGACGTAGGGTGTGGCTCAGGTGAAAGAGATGGCCAAAGAAAAAGAGAATCCAAATTCTGAAAAACGTATCGTGGATCCCAGACGAACTTCAACATAATAATAAAACCGTCTCCTTAGTCCCAAGCGCTGTAACAGCAAGCGGGTCCGCGGGCGGTGATCCTGCAAGGGCGAAATCAGAGGTCCCTGGCTTCTCGGAAAGGTCACTATGAGCGGCCAGGGCGGTGGGCGCACGGTAACCTGCAAGGCCTCCTGCCTGCCCCCTCCCACCCGTGGAAGCCCACGTCCCTCCAGTGTGCCCCATCACGGCCTCCTGAAAACCACGCTCCCCCCCACCACTACCACCAGCTGTTCCCTGCCCGCGTCTGCGGCCATGGGCAGCGGAAGATGCGGTGATGGGGGACACTTCGCAGCGCGGGATGGAGCGCAGGGGCGACCCCCGAGCTCAGCGGTGGCTCTCCACCGTCGCGCGCTCCGTGGTGGCTGTCCTTTAGCCGCCGGCGAGCTGGGAAGGCTTTCGAAATGCGCGGGGCTGCGGATCATTGGAGCCCTGGGGTAGGGGTGGGAGCGGGGTGCTGTCCCGGAGGGTCCACGAACTCGGGGAGACTGGTGCCTTCGCCCAAATCCCCCAGCGCTCAGGAGGCGGCCGGGGTGCCCCCTGGGGACGATCGAGGGTCTTCCACAGCGGCTTTCTGCGCTCCGAGGATGGGTGATGAGAGAGGGAAGTTTCTAAGAGGCCGCCCAGCCCGGGCGCGCGGGCAAAGGCGCGGCTGCTCTCTGCGGCCTGCGGGCTCCCGGGGCGCGGGAACTGCACGCCACGACCGGGGCGGTGCGGGGGCTCGCGAGTAATTGACCACAAGCGAGACTTTTTGTCCTGAGACCTCAGCCAGCCGGACCCCGCAGTTGGCACGGAGAGCGGGAGGGATCGAGGCTGCGGGACAGCTCGGGGAGACCACGGCGCAATGGCTGGGGTGGTGGGGTAGCGGGTGGCTGGCGTCGGCGGCCGCGTGCTGGCAAGGGGACGTTCGCGGTGGGCGCCGGGTCCTGGAGAAAGGACCATCTGAGCCGTGAGGTCGTGTGTGGAGCCTTGACACAAACGTGGAGAGGATGGAGGACGCCGTGCCTCAGGAGTGCGTACCTGTGAACTTGCCTGGTGCAGCGAGCATCCACTCTTTGCCGGCCCAGCATTCCTAAAACGCAGTATCTATCTCAAAATTCACTTTAAAGAGAACTTCATAAAAGGAAAATGAGACCCATGCAGCAATAAGAGAGGATATTTTTCCCTCTGTTAAAGACGATTTCCGAAGGATCCCTTTGCACTCGGAGGGTCTTTAATTTTATTTCCTTACTTCCCGACCTTCCACTCCTTCCTCCCCATTTTGAATTGCTTTTCTGACTCTTGGTCTTCCTGAAAACCTCCTTGTGTATTTAAAACAGAACCACAAAACATCTTTAGTCTTTAATTAAAATAATACCTACTTGAAGGATGTGGCCCAGCCACTAAAGGGGCCTATTTTCCCATTCAGCACAGGGAGAAAAATCAACTGCTTTATCTTTTAAAAAGAAAAAAATGTATCTTTGGGTCAAAAATACTGAAACTGGTTTCTAGTCCCTTTTGGAGGTGATGATATAAATGGTAGCATTTCAGTGAATGCTACCCAGTGAATTTAACCCAAATTTAGATTTTCACAATTTATTTGCAGAATCCTGTAACTTACTTTTACACCTTAACCACCTTTTTAAAAAGAAAATGTAACATTGTGAGACTCATTTTGATAAACCTGACCTTAAAA